GAGAGAGAGAGAGAGAGAGAGAGAGAGAGAGAGAAAGAGAGAGGTGGGGGAGTGGGTAGTCTCGGTGCCTCTTCCACTTAAAAGAACACTGATCCTTTTGGATTAGGGCCCTACCCATGTGACCTCTTCTAACTTCTATTGCCTCCTTAAGGCCCTGTCACCATATAGAGTCACGCTGAGGGTTAGAGCTTCAGCTTGTGAATTTTGGAGGATACATTTCAGTTCATAACACCAGAGCTGCATGAGAACCTTCACCTGAAATATCTGCCTCACTGGATTGTGGGAATGGGCCAAGGAGACACTTACAATGTGAAAAAACCTGCGTGGAGCTGGGCACAGAGTAAGTGTCCTGCATGTCACACCCTCTTCCTGTTTTCCTCTTACTGTCAACAGAAGATAACAAGGTGGCTGAGAATCGAGTTCACACAGAGCTAAGGGTTGCCTTGGAGTTTCTGAGGCTGCTGTCTGAGCTGGGAGCTGGTCTGAGCTCCCAGAGAATCAGAAGTTCCATCAAGAGCCACAGTAGAGAACCCAGTCCAGGTACCAGTGGGTGTCCAACTGCGGTCACCTCAGTGGCAGAGGCAGTGAGGTTGGAGGCAGTGAGGCCGGAGGTTGGAACTAAAAGGCCAGGGAAGATGTGCATACTCTATAAAGAAGTCAGTAGCCACCAGGGGGACCACAGATAGACCCGCCCTCGGCACAGTCCTCCCCGCCACCTGAGGTCCTTCAGCTGTCCCTTGCTCAGAGCCTCCTGAGATGACGAGAAGAAAAAACAGGCCATAGAAGAAGACCTTTTTGAAAAGAGGCTGTTTTAAACTGGAAGAAACCGAGTTCCAGCAAGTCCCGACTCTGCTGTTGAGCAAGACGTTCGAGCACGTCTGAAGTGTAGCGAATACATTAGAATATAGCTCTGCTAATATTTATTGAGCCTTGCTATCTCCCAGGCCTAAAGCTAAGCATTTATTTGATTTTAAAGTATAATTTTTAAATGAATAATAAGAACAAACATTCCCCCAAGTAGGGAAACAAACCTTCACATTCATTTTATGGATTGCAGCGAAATGAACAGGGATGCGGGGGAGAGCTGCTCCTCCTGTTCGTGTGGCCAGAAGTGAGAGACTATTAAAAAGGGCTGCTGGCTCATGGCCCTTTTCTCTTCCCAGCTCTGGCTTGTGTGGGGCTTTACAGCAAGTCTGTGGACACCTTGTCCTCAAGCCCAGGATCTGTTCTGATACTCACCCCACAGCATCCATCAGCTACCCTTTCTGACCAGGCCTGTGACCTGGGAACATGGTCTCCTCTCCTGAAGACCTGCCTGGGAAGGCGGCCTGGAGACGTGCTCAGAATGTCAAGACATGCTTCCTCACACCTGGTGCATGACCTACGCATGACCTGGTAGGCACGACACTTGGTCCCTTGTGTTTCTTGCCCCATGGGGCAAGGAGCAGGCAGAGTGCAGTCCTCTAGGTGTGGGACCCAAGTTGCCTGTGTCTAAGGGTTTTCCCTTTGCCTGTCCACCAAGAGGAAAGTCCAACCCCTCCATCTAATCCTCACTGGCTCACAGGGAGCTCTGGGCTCATATTCTGATTCAGGCCATGTTGACTCTGCACATATCAGGTGCTTCCTTGAACCTGGTTCACTTATTGTTCACAGCATCCCTGGGAGGCAGTGTCACCTCTCCCGTATGGCAGATGAGGAAACTGAGGCTCAGGGAGGGGATGTGACTCAGTCAAGGCGATATAGATAGAAAGCCGGGGATCTGGGGTTTCTGTACCAAAATCATTCCTTTCTCTACGTCGGTGAAACTGAAATCGGACTCTAGGGGAAGGACTGGCATCTGGAGATTCTAAAGCACAGCAGAGCTGAAGCCTATATTTAAAACACCGCATCACTTTTGTCATTGATTGGGAAAGACAAACTTAGGAGAGTATTTTGAGTCACTGGGAGATAACAGGTGGGCATTTTTGCAGTGCTTGGGGCCTGTGGGACAACACAGGATGCATCCCAGGAGTCGGCAAGAGTGGAGTTGGAGTTGGTGTCTGAATGCACAGTCTTGGATCCTCCCGTTTCCTGGAGGCCTGGCTGAGCATGGCATGCTATTCACTTCACCTGCAAAAGAGCACTGACTGAGCTGATAGATGGTGAAGCAGCCCTGCAAACAAGGCCCAAATGAAAGAGGGCATCTTTAATCACTCTTATGACATACGATGCTCAAACCAGAGCAAGTGAAAATGCCCCTAGCTCCCTCTCCCTGGTGGAATGGTCCTTTCCAAGGACCAACAGATCAGTGCTGCGGTTGGGGTACTCTGTGCTGAAAAAGACCCCAAAAAGAGGCTCCAGGAGTTTCTTGGACCCTGAGTCAGGGAAGGGAAGAGAGGGGCAACAGGAGTGGAAAAGTACTGACTTAGTGGAGAGGAGAGAGCGTCTTCAAGCTTTTTCCACTTTTGATGTCTGTGCTCAAGACCTCAGATAAAGGGATCTGGGAGTGAGTTACCAAGGACTCAGCCCCTGAGAGCCAACTGCCCAGGGGCTGAGTCCTGAACAGCACAGGCCTGCCCCCCTACACTAGAATACACCAGCTGAGAGCCGTCCCCATGACATTTGCCTTTGAATCGCTAATAATTGGGCCATACACAAGTCACACTCGGGACTTTAACCAGGAGCCAGACTCTGAAGTGTTTACCTCTCTATCCAAGCCTCTACCTAGGGGTTCCCAATACTTACATTGGCTTGAATGGAACTTTTGGACTCTTAAGCAAAACCATTTATAGATTTTTCTCCAAAAGTTTGCATTTCACTTCTCATGTCTGCCATTTCCATCTCCTTGTGGCCACCAAGCCCCATGTCACCTATAGCTGTAGGTCTACTGTTCATGAGCTACCTGATGATCCATTGCCTGTAGCTGAGCCTCTGGTTCCAACCTGGGGGACTCAAGTGACAGAGCACATCATCTAAGTTTTTTGGCTGCTTGCAATAGCCATGGTGCTTGGTAGTTTTCTATGTGTGCCATGAGGAAAACTCCAGAAATACTGGACAGGAAGAGCTGAGGGGAGATCCGAGGATTTCTGCCATGGAGAACATTATCTCCACATTACCTCAGGTGATTTTAATCTTCTCCAGCCCCAAACTTCCTTCCTTCCCACTATTCATCCACCTCATTGCCTCTGGAAACCCTAAATCCAGCAATTACTAAGCTCCATGAGGACTTTAGCCCACTAATCCACCATCT